AAAAATATAATATAAAAATAAAAATCAATAATAAATTTATACATCGAAGACGCGATCAACATCAATAAAGACAGTCAAAGATCAGTATCCATAGATTTGCAGATTATATAGCAGTATTAGCATCTAGCAAGGAGGAATTAGAGATACCTTTAAATAAAATGGAAGCGGTATTTACAAAACAGTATTGTATAAAAATAAATAAAAGTAAAACAAAAATACTGGTACGCAAGGAAAGAAAAAGTAGGGAAATAGCGAATGTAAAGACAGGAGACGAAGAATTAAAAGAAGTGGCCGATTTTAAGTATCTAGGAAGTTATATAAGTCAGGACGAAAGGAGTAGTAGGGACATAAAGCAAAGAATAGAGCAGGGTAGATTCGCCTTCAATAAAAAAAAGTCACTTCTATGCTCGCGAACGGTTAATTTAGAAATATTCTTAAAAGTGTAAGTATGTTTGGAACGCGGCGCTGTACGAGTGCGAAACATGGACGGTGGGCGTGGCGGGAAAGAAAAGATTAGAAGCATTCGAAATGTGGTGTTACAGGCGAATAATGAGGATACGATGGATAGAGAAGGTTAGAAATGATGAGGTATTAGAAAGAATAGGAGAACAAAGGACTATATGGAAGTCAATAAGAAACAAGCGAGATAGGTTGGTAGGATACCTTTTCAGGCATGAAGGTCTAGTTAGACACATATTAGAGGCAGAAACAGGAGTTAGGAGGGGTAGAGGTAGACCTAGATTAGATTACTGTTCACAAATAGTTAAGGATGTGGGATGTTCTAGTTTTAGGGAAATGGGAAGACTAGCTCAGGATAGGAAAGAGTGGAGGTGCACATCCAAAACCATATACAATATAATTAAAAATACTGAATTAAATGAAAATAAAATGTACTTACGATTAATAGCCTTAGCTGATCTAATCATTCTGAATTGTAGATAAAAATCCTATTGCGAAATTGATAAAACATTAACTTTTCACGTATTCGGAAGTGTAGCGTTTCAACAGCGTTTCTAAAATGCGGTATCTATGAATTCGATTTCGCTTTTATATTGTATGTATGACAGTATGACCAGGGACACAAACGCTGCATAATTTTTAATTAGACAAAGTGTCGAGGGTTATAAGTTGAATGGTTGTTGCGGTTTCAAATTCTTTACGTTAATATTCACAGGGTGAGTCAACACATATGTATGGTCGGTGATCGAGTGATTGACAACCCGTTATTTTTAAAGTGCGTGGTACTAATTTGTATTTTCCTAATTAACTTTATTTCATTTTACAACTACTAAATATCTGACAAGAGATATGACGTCCTGGAATGCTTTATTGAAACTAACACCAATTCCAGCTTGTCTGCGAAACATATATTTCTATACTTATCCAGAATGAAACAATAAATAAAATGGAAATCTTAACAGTCATATGAACATTAATCAAAAAAATATGTAGTTGGTAATAATAATTAATACAACTTCAATTAAAGGAAATACTCAAACTGATAACAGTTTTTCTCTGTTAATTTTATTAACGAATAAATGAAAAATGAGTTGTGCAACAGTTTTAATTGACGATAAAAATAAAAGATTATCACAGGCAAAAAAAAAGAAACTAGAAGGACATGAAAATAACTAAAAATCACAAGATATTTTCTTAGTGTTTATTGACGGAAGTGGAGGAGTTATCTCACGAGTAAACTAATAAAAATGAAATTGAAATTGAGTTAAGTACGGAGAAACTTTTCAAAATTGTGTACCTACTACATTTGTCTGCTTTGACTTTATACATCAGCGAACGACTTGTAGACTGCAGATATGGTTCACCATAAACAATAAAAAATATAGAACATTCAACATGGCCGAACTTGTCGATGTAAGTGAGAGAAATGAGTACCAACATAACGCCACATAAAAATCGAAAATCGAATATACGTAACCAGAGGAAATTCACAATTCGCGATACTTTTTGAACAGATCTCGTATACATCAGAAATTGCTCTTTATTAAGAGTATAACAATAATTGTTCAGTATTAAAATACCATCTATTCAGGTGCGAGTTGTGCTTTTGGTTTTTATAAAGAATAACTGTTAACATTTACTATTTTAATTGTTTATTGTTATACTACCACTTCCGATATCTGCAGGCACGTCGATATGAAAGAGAAATTGAATGATGTGAGGTCTATTGGTGATTTAGAATTGAAGAACTCGTATAATGACCACCGTGGGATAATAAAATCGTTTTTTTTTTGCATTCTTTAAAAACTTTTTGCCTATATCATTTCCACCAGTTACTAATACAGGAGGCAAGTAATTTCTTCTAACTACACTAGTGGAGGACTACAGGATACGGCTGAAGGCCCTCATTTTAACCTACCTCATTTAGGGAACAGTGGGAATTCGTGAGTGTTTGGAGAAAGAGTTGGTTGAGGCATACGAAATGAAGACAAAAGGAATGTGCAAGATTATACTTCGTTTACTTTCTGTAGCGTTGTGACCTTCAGTTTGACCGGCGAAAAGTAGAAAAGAACAGCACTAGGCCAGAAAAGGAAGGATACAACTCTCGGCCAAACTCTTAACTGGCGAAGAGCGTATAATCCGCACAGTACTTGCACGGAAAAATTGACCATTTTGTCCACTACAATTGCATTGTTCAAATGTGCTGTTATTGGTACCATTTACTACTGAAAATATCAACGAGATGTTTATTTATATTTGAAGACATATTAAAGGCTGTAACGCTTGTTTTCGACTCGCACTACTATTCATGATTGAACAAAACTTTTGGCAGGTACTGTATGAAAAAGTATGTTTAATGAACAAGAGTCGAGAGTATAATAAGCTTTTTTCTCCCTATCTACGATTTTGCCAGCGCGCATCCAAGACATTGTAAGGGGCCATCGCTAGAGAAAGTAAATGAAGTATAGCTAATAATTACTACCACTTGTGATGGAATATTACTGCCTCTATATTTACCTCACTAGCCACTAATTTTGGTGGGCGAGCAATCCCAGTCTTGGTATTTGGCTTCGCCGAACAAAAATTCTTTCTACACCACTGCGGAAATTTTCTTTTTAAAAGAAACAAAAAATGATGTAACTAATAACTGTTTTTCTTGGCTCAGAGTTTATTTACTATCTCTATTTATCAATATTTGTTTTGTATTTTTATTTCACTTTTTTGTTCATACAGCTATAACAAATATGCATCTGAAGATTTTTTATGCAATTAAAGCTTAAAAAATACAAAAGAAATATTAAATTGTTTATAACAATTAAAAGATTTGGTAAAAAATATATTTTACTGCAAAGACTGGCAATGTTTCGTATATAATAAAACAAAAAAAAAGTTGAAATTTAATAATTTTTCAATTCCTTATCAAGTTATGCATGACTTAGGTCATTGCGCGTTAACACGCCATTTTCTCAGCAATTTTTTGTGTAAAACTATTTTGGGAATGTTTTTGTTTTTTTTTTTCATCTCCCTTTTACATCTGAGGATTAATTTTTATATAATTCTATTCGTCGACCAAATATGCACATTATATCAAAAATGCAATATTTTTTTTGATTGACTTGACCTCGAACTGACAGATTTTTCTGGACTAGTCAATATGATATTTAATGATTACTTTTAACGATTTCTGAAAGTTTGTACAACTGTCGCTAAAGCTAAGTTAGGATGCACATCTCCAATTGCAATTTAAAGTACTTAGTAAATAGTAACTTCCAGCTATTCAAAATAAACCGAAACTCCTTTCAGTACTTAACTTTATTTACATAGTTATTGTAGAATACATTTTGGATGTGTACAGAATTTTACAAAAATACAATTTATCAAATACAAAATAATACATGGCAAAGAATTCAGATGTTCATTTTATTATTTTTTTCTCTACAAATCAGAATCTTATGGAGTAAAAGCCCATTCACATCCATTTAAATTAACTATATATGAATCACACTTTATATATTAAACGCATCTAGTTTTCATTTCATTCCTATTTTTTCTTCTAATGAAGTGTGAAATTATAGCCAGATAAGGTAAAACAAGTTTTTTAAAACAACCACCGACGTTTCGCAATAGATTTAAGGTTTTTCCAAACTTATAATACATGTATGTACGTTAATAAACTACTTGGGTACTTAGGCGATGAATTCCCAATCATATGTAAAAATAATTTAATAGTTAACAACTAAATGCTATAATATTCACATAATTACAATATACACTGAAATTAGACATTTTTTAATTTTTAATAGTGGTTAATATGAAATGTGAAAATTTATTTTCGAATTTTTATCCATTACAAACTACTTCAAGTTAAGGAGGGAAAATTTTTGTGTTGCTGTTGTCACCGTCGCCGGGAATCAAACCCGAGACCTTTGACTTTACGCACCACTAAGTTTAGTCAAAGCCAAACGTCCTGGGTTCGATTCCCGGCGAGGAATTACACTGTAATTATGGCCTTGTCGGATTTTTTCTAAAAATTTTGTTATTTTTAATACATTTTATAATGTAGGTACCTACGTTTTAACTTTAGTGCCTGTTGATATCACATGGTCTCATTTTAATTATTTCCACTGCGCATTACTTNTGAGTAAAAGTAGGCGTTCTGACAGCAGCCGTCCTTAGTCTAGTTAATAAGTTGAAAGAAGAAAGTAAATGTGACAGTTTTATTGCGAACTATACCAAATTTGAACGTCTAAAGTATATGAGCGGTCCAGACTACCTGATCGATCGATAGACAGTGGTCAATACCCACCTTCTGCTCGTTGCAACTTGGATTATCATAAATCGTCGTTGATGAGTACAGTCGTTAACATTGCATATGGGGTGGAAAATACTGTATTTCGAGCATCTTCAACCCCTGTAATACCTAACAACCATGCAGGCATTTTAGTTTGCTCACGATCTCAATTGAGATCTAATGAATAAATTGCAGTGAAAAATTTTAAATAGTCGATGCCTCTGTACGTTTAGTAAATAAAGAATATGTGAAAGATGAGGATGTAAAAGGAAAATACAAATTGGATATTCATCAGAGAAATTACTGGACTTTAGAAATTTATTGCTTTGTCTTCTGTCTCTTGTTTGATGTCTTCCTTAACACATGCATCTGAAAAAGAGGCTTAACTTATCTTACTTAAAATTAGTCACCATCATCATAAGGTCGTCAGTCCTAAGACTGGTTAGACACGCACCTCCACTCTTTCCTATCCTGAGCTAATCTTCGCATTTGCCTAAAACTAGAACAACCCATATCCTAAACTATTTGTGAACAGTAATCTAATCTATGTCTTCCTCTACCCTTCTTAACTTCCGTTTCTGCCTCTAATATGTCTCTAAGTAGGCCTTCATGCCTTAGAAGGTGGCCTACCAACCTATCTCGCTTATTTCTTATTAACTTCCATAAAGTCCTCTGTTCTCCTATTCCTTCTAATATCTCTTCATTTCTAACCTTCTCTATCCACGGTATCCTCATCATTCACCTGTATCACCACATTTCGAACGCTTCTAACCTTTTCTTTTCCGCGCTCTCTCTACTTTGCTTTGTATCGACTCGAACTCGGTGCCGTACTAACTCTTCCGACCTTGCAACAACTATTTGTAAGGGCTGGCCATGTTCTAGAATGCTCCAGAATATGACGTTTATAAAATCTAATCTTCTCTGTCACTATGTGTGTTGGGTTGCTGTTGGCAGATAATTGAAGAAGCGACAAAAGCACAAAGGAATTGTTTATGAACTTTAATAATTGTGGTGTGGTTAAAAAATATTCCTTCTAATTGATAAACTATTACTATATATATTGCTAATGATTCAGACGTCCGACCGCGCTGACTATCCGTCACGAACTCTGTTCGTTGTATGTACGCTGCTAACCATTCTACTTAACTACCACAAAAACTACCCTCTTTTAGAAAAGAACACAAAAGTAAAATACTAAAAACTAGCAACAAGACATACACATCTCTTAACATTACTTAATAATTACATATACCTATAATAATATTTATTCATCGTTGTACCAAAAACTAACAGTTGCTTACTTACATGTGACAGTAAGTACATTTAATGTAAGAATGTTACAGCATTCATCATATAGAAGGACACTTCAAAAATTCAGAATATGTTCCTTTAAGACACCCACTAATTTCGAAATTATGCACCCCTTATATGAATCGCTTGGAGCAGCTATTGAGATTTGCATATTACGTTAGAAATGTTAATTCTCGTCTCTCATTCCTTGCCGCATTCAAATTTTTATTATATGTACGACACTGGCACCTTGTCATTAGTGCATAGCACTTGGAATCATTCCCATTATGGCAGGGATTAGATTAAGTTATGGTCCAGCCGAATCCTTTAGGTTAAGACCTAACCTAGTCCCTTAGTGCGTAACACTTAATTTTCAACATTTTTTATAATTTGTTAAGCTAGGAAGTGCTTCATGAGTAGTACAGACAAAGTAAAAAGAGATAACCGCGAATAACAGTAAGCGGTACAACGGTTAGAGGTTGCTTAGGCACGATAAAGATCAGGGTTGTATACTTCATTTACTTTCTCTAGCGATGTGCCCCTTCCAATGTCTTGGATGCGCTTTGGCAAAATCGTAGGTAGAGAGAAAAGAAGCTCATTATACTGTCGACTCTTGTTCATTAAACATACTTTTCCATACAGTACCTATCAAAAGTTTTGTTCAATCATGGATAGTAGTGCGAGTTGAAAACAAGCGTTAAAGCATTTAATATTTCTTCAAATATAAATAAACATCTCGTTGATATTTTCAGTAGTAAATGGTACCAATAACATCACATTTGAGCAATGCAATTGTAGTGGATAAAATGGTNCCTTTAATATGTCTTCAAATATAAATAAACATCTCGTTGATATTTTCAGTAGTAAATGGTACCAATAACATCACATTTGAGCAATGCAATTGTAGTGGATAAAATGGTCAATTTTTCCGTGCAGTACTGTGCAGATTATACGCTCTTCACCGGTTAAGAGTTTGGCCGAAAATTGCATCCTTCCTTTTCTGGCCTAGTGCTGTTCTTTTCTACTTTGCGCCGGTCAAACTGAAGGTCACTTCGCTACAACTGCTTAGTTGGAATTATATCTTTAAACAACCGTCTTTGCTTTCCTAAATTTCTGAGAATGTTGATGTTTCTTTAAAGTCCGGTGCTGGCAACATACTCAAATTCTGCTTGTCTGCATCTCTTTCTGTGACACATTAGTTGGCGTAATGTTATTCCTTTTTATTTATTAGCGTCCGCTGCAATTCCTACCTGACATCTCTTTTCGATGTTGACGATATTCCCTACAACGTTTGTCGTGAGTAAAAGTAGGCGTTCTGACAGCAGCCGTCCTTAGTCTAGTTAATAAGTTGAAAGAAGAAAGTAAATGTGACAGTTTTATTGCGAACTATACCAAATTTGAACGTCTAAAGTATATGAGCGGTCCAGACTACCTGATCGATCGATAGACAGTGGTCAATACCCACCTTCTGCTCGTTGCAACTTGGATTATCATAAATCGTCGTTGATGAGTACAGTCGTTAACATTGCATATGGGGTGGAAAATACTGTATTTCGAGCATCTTCAACCCCTGTAATACCTAACAACCATGCAGGCATTTTAGTTTGCTCACGATCTCAATTGAGATCTAATGAATAAATTGCAGTGAAAAATTTTAAATAGTCGATGCCTCTGTACGTTTAGTAAATAAAGAATATGTGAAAGATGAGGATGTAAAAGGAAAATACAAATTGGATATTCATCAGAGAAATTACTGGACTTTAGAAATTTATTGCTTTGTCTTCTGTCTCTTGTTTGATGTCTTCCTTAACACATGCATCTGAAAAAGAGGCTTAACTTATCTTACTTAAAATTAGTCACCATCATCATAAGGTCGTCAGTCCTAAGACTGGTTAGACACGCACCTCCACTCTTTCCTATCCTGAGCTAATCTTCGCATTTGCCTAAAACTAGAACAACCCATATCCTAAACTATTTGTGAACAGTAATCTAATCTATGTCTTCCTCTACCCTTCTTAACTTCCGTTTCTGCCTCTAATATGTCTCTAAGTAGGCCTTCATGCCTTAGAAGGTGGCCTACCAACCTATCTCGCTTATTTCTTATTAACTTCCATAAAGTCCTCTGTTCTCCTATTCCTTCTAATATCTCTTCATTTCTAACCTTCTCTATCCACGGTATCCTCATCATTCACCTGTATCACCACATTTCGAACGCTTCTAACCTTTTCTTTTCCGCGCTCTCTCTACTTTGCTTTGTATCGACTCGAACTCGGTGCCGTACTAACTCTTCCGACCTTGCAACAACTATTTGTAAGGGCTGGCCATGTTCTAGAATGCTCCAGAATATGACGTTTATAAAATCTAATCTTCTCTGTCACTATGTGTGTTGGGTTGCTGTTGGCAGATAATTGAAGAAGCGACAAAAGCACAAAGGAATTGTTTATGAACTTTAATAATTGTGGTGTGGTTAAAAAATATTCCTTCTAATTGATAAACTATTACTATATATATTGCTAATGATTCAGACGTCCGACCGCGCTGACTATCCGTCACGAACTCTGTTCGTTGTATGTACGCTGCTAACCATTCTACTTAACTACCACAAAAACTACCCTCTTTTAGAAAAGAACACAAAAGTAAAATACTAAAAACTAGCAACAAGACATACACATCTCTTAACATTACTTAATAATTACATATACCTATAATAATATTTATTCATCGTTGTACCAAAAACTAACAGTTGCTTACTTACATGTGACAGTAAGTACATTTAATGTAAGAATGTTACAGCATTCATCATATAGAAGGACACTTCAAAAATTCAGAATATGTTCCTTTAAGACACCCACTAATTTCGAAATTATGCACCCCTTATATGAATCGCTTGGAGCAGCTATTGAGATTTGCATATTACGTTAGAAATGTTAATTCTCGTCTCTCATTCCTTGCCGCATTCAAATTTTTATTATTTTTAAAATTAAAAAGAATGGTATCGTTTACCAAATTCATGTATTGGGTACATCGTGATTCTTGCAATTAGAAATTTCGAACAATAAAGAGAAACGTAGTGTTTCATATACAAATTAGTCGAATGTACCTACAACCGGTACAAATGCAATTTTAAGAAAGGAATCCTCGAAGAATCCTTGTTATATCACGATTTCGTGATTAATTGTGAACTTTATAAATGTTGCGTATATGCATATTCATCTAATAGTAACTGCATTTTCTGGTGCATTATGAGTCCTGACATTTGATAGAATCCACCTATCAGATCGGAAGAGATGTACATCTGATAAAAAATTTTTAGAAATCTAAAATTTAATTCTTAATAAAATGCTGACTCGATTAGGTTAATATTCAATTTAGACGTTACAAATTGAAAATAAGCAATAATTTTAGTAATTATAGAAAAATAGCAGGATGGTTTCCAATTATTATCCATTGCAAGGTAGGAACAATGTTAAAGTATTCATAGGCAGTACATCACCATCTGCTATGAAGTATTTTTCTTCTGGAGTCATTTCTCCGGCATTTTGCGTTGATATCGCAGAATACGCTAGTGGGTTAGATAATGTCTCCCCCTTCGCTTTGATTTTAACAGTTAATTTATTTCGGGTTTAATTGAAGTCAAAAGTGTTAACTAATAATAATAATAATAATGATGCATTTTTATTAAAGGCCTAACGCAACAGTTACACAATGCTGCGCCCACCTAATGCAACGAAACTGTTCGGTTACTAAGCGTGCACCTACAATCAGTTTCCAGGTGAGCTATACAGAGTGTTTCTGAAATGAATAGCAATTTTGCAGAAGACGATATCACACTATAAACGTTGGAAAGTTTGCCGTTTTCGAGAAAAACGTATTTCAAAGTAAAGGTAAGTGCTAGTCCGGCCCTAGTGGAATCACGCAAGGAAATACGAGACTGCAACGCCGCATTCAATCACATGGCAATTAGCAGCATGCGTGTTGTATTTCTTTTGCAGTTTTGACCATTGACAGTAGGCCAGTGTGTCAGTGTCATAGGTCAGGGCAGACTAGTATTATTGCATTGACCAGTTCGTGAGTTTTTAAACGAATCGACATTGGATTGGACGTATGAATCCTATACCTTGGCTAACGCTTAGCCTGGATTTAAATACAGGTTAAATCTCTACGAATATGCAGAGCCACATATAACCCGAAGAAAGCTGCAAATAATCCTTTCGGAAACACTTGAGAATGAAGGTTCGCCTTATAACTCGGATTTAGATTAGGTACTCAAAAATAACTTGAAGGACTTAAACAGAACATGTAAGAACGTTGTTTTAATGACTGCCAAGGTGTGGTAACGATTATGCGTAATTGGTTAGTGATCCACGATAACTTGCAACTTCGTCTAACAATGAGAATCCCAAAGTCATCTAGTCTTTTAGAATATTATGACTTATTGAATATATTTAAATTCAAAAGAGAGGAGATTGATTAAGGTAATTTAATGAAACAATCTTTATAATAAGTATGTGTTCTCCGCTATATACGTAGACTATTAGAGGACCAAGATGTCAGTACAAACTCATTTTATTACTTCTCTCTTGTGAGTGATAATTATTTTTAATTTACATGTTGTACGTTAATTATCCTTATGTAAAAGGATAACGGTCACTTTATAACCAAATAAATAAATAAATAAATAAATAGAATTATTTGACAATTTGGAAAAATCGTAGAGACAGTTTTTGATGAGCAATGATATAGGTATCTTTAACAAACACTATTTTGAGCATTTCTATTAATTTTTGAAAAGTTGGGTTGCAATTGGTAGTAGCAGTAGCAGTAGCAGTAGAAGTAGCAGTAAAACTAGCAGTAGCAGAAGTAGCAGTAGCAGTAGCAGAAGAAGTAGCAGTAAAACTAGCCGTAACAGTAGCAGAAGTAGCAGTAGCAGTAGCAGAAGAAGTAGCAGTAGCAGTAGCAGTAGCAGTAGCAGTTTCAGAATTATTCGCATTATTTTTTGACGATTACGCGTAATGTTTTGAAAGTACCACATTTATGACTAATATACTTAACATTTTAAAGAATTATAAACAAAATGCGAATTCCTCACGAACGAAAGCAGGAAGTTACGAATAAATGTTATTTACTGCATTGTGTTATTACCTTTGATGGTTCGTGAGCGGATTCCAAGAAGCCAACGACGTTTCTGCTGTAGGGGCGAAATAAATAGTTTCGTCAGTTGGATCAATCGTTAATCCTACTCCCTGAGACGATTTTCGACCTAACAATGTAACTGGTAGAACGTCTAATTCTCCAGGTGGGCCCTTCCGAAGTTCTGAAGTAGAAATACTGAATATTCTGTAATAAAAGATGCATTGAATGTATGACGAAGAATAAATTAGTATGTGTGACAAACTATATGAATATATACGTATAGTATGGCGGAAGTGTTGTTCGGTTTATCTCTGAAGAAACAGCAGTTCAGTTTATCAAACAAATATGCGTATTAGTTAACAGAAATATTGGGTTGTTCGGAAAGTCATTTCGTTTTTTCCCGACAGACGATTTAATTGTATTCTTTTGCACCCAACTTCACATTTAAGCCGTATAATTTTTATATGCTTTGAGAGCTCATATAGCAAGGCTTGTGTGTGAAAAATTCCAATTAATTCTACGCAGTAGTTTTTGGTTGGTGCCCTTTTAAATATGGAGAGCGATAAGCAGCATTTTCGACATATCTTACTGTTTTACTACAGAAAGGGTAAAAATGCTGTTCAAGCCAGAAAGAAATTGACTGATGTGTATGGAGAAGGTGTGTTGACAGTACGCCAGTGCCAGAACTGGTTCGCTAAATTTCGATCCGGCAATTTTGATGTCGAAGATGCACCACGTTCGGGAAGGCCGGTTGAAGCTGATAAAGACGCGATAAAGGCATTAGTTGATGTGAACCGGCGAATAACAACACGTGAGATCGGATTGAGGTTAAATTTATCAAATTCAACAGTTTATGACCACTTGAAAGGCCTGGGATTATCCTCGAAGCTCGATGTATGGGTTCCCCATGTTCTCACAGAGAGAAATCTGTGTCGCCGCATTGACGTCTGCGATTCGCTTCTCAAACGTCACGAAAATGATCCGTTTTTGAAGCGCATCATCACTGGGGACGAAAAATGGGTTGTATACAACAACGTCAAACGCAAGAGGTCATGGAGCAAAAAAGATGAACCGGCTCAAACCATTTCCAAAGCCGATATTCACCAAAAAAAGGTGATGCTGTCTGTTTGGTGGGATTTTAAAGGAATCGTTTTTTTTGAGCTTTTACCGGATAACACAACGATTAATTCGGAAGTCTACTGTCATCAGCTGGACAAACTGAATGATGCACTTCAACAGAAAAGGTCAGAACTAATCAACAGGAAAGGTGTAGTGTTTCACCAAGACAACGCGAGACCTCACACAAGTTTGGTCACTCGCCAAAAGCTTTTACAGCTTGAATGGGATACAATGCTACACCCACCATATTCTCCAGACCTGGCACCATCGGATTATTATTTGTTCCGGTCACTCCAAAATTTTTTAGACGGTAAAACCTTCACCTCAAATGAGGAGGTCAAAAACCTCCTCGATCAGTTTTTTGCCAGCAAAGACCAAAAATTTTATGAGCGTGGAATTATGCTACTACCAAAAAGATGGTAAAAGGTGTTGGACCAGAACGGTCAATATATAATTTAATAAAGTATTTGTTTATTATACGAAAACTGTCTTTCATTTCCACAAAAAAAAACGAAATGGCTTTCCGAACAACCCTATAGTATTATTGCATTGATCACTGCGTGAGTTTCTAGACTATGGCAGTTTCCTATGATGCGAAGATTACCTCAGGATAGGAAGGAGTGGTGATGCGTCAGGGCCGAACTGACTCGGGGTGCATTTGACTCATAAAATGTGAAAAAAAAGGAGAAATTAACAAAAGCTTAAACAATTTTTAAAACAAGAGCAAAAACCGAGGCAAAAACAAACGCAAATTTCCTCTTCTTAAATTTATTTAAAAACGAGTACTGTTAAAATTTGTGCACTTTCCCTTCTAAACCAGGTCATTCGGTTGCATCGCACTCCGGGCCCAAATCTTCAGTCCGGCTCTGAGGTGCGTACAGTTGTAGGACTGACGACCTTATGAGATTTCGGATTTAAAGTTGTTATCTAATAATAATGGGCGAGTTCGTATACATCTCTTCATGTTTTCAGGAAACCATAACGACTAAATTAACTGTCCCCACTACAGTGTGTAGTGTCCATCGCGCATTGATGTGCGTAAATGTTCCAGGGGACAAGCTATTTTTGTCATGTAACACCTAATAAATATATTATTTTACATTCACAAAGTGAGTGTTCTGATAATAGGACAATCCTGTTTGTTTTTAGACAATACTTAAGAAGCAGACTATCACTAAAGATATTCAGATAGATATCGGAGAACATACCTACCACCTATCAAGGAATTTGTTCATAAAATGTAAACGACTAGAATTACAATGACATCAATGTCACATGTAAGTGTCGTACAGTACCTACATCAGAAGGAGAGGCATTTCTCTTTTGAGGGGTAAATTTGTATAAATAATAAATATTTTAAAAATTGACAACATTTCGTAAAGTAACGTCTCCTCTTTCCATACATAAGTACTTATTGAAAGTAGATTACAAGTAAAATTATCGGAATTATAATAACTTCCTTACTTTTATCGTCAAAATTCATTAGCATTAAATTATTTTAATTACCTGTCAGTGGCATAGGGTTGAAAATAAAGTTGACCTAAATTAGGCGAATGCGCCAGACCAATAATTCCGTCCATTAATGTAAACGTTTCTCCGTCTATTGTTGCGTCAGAAAAGTCCGGATCAGGAAACATACTGGGATGAGTTACTCTCCAGGCGGTGTCTTTTAATGAGTCATATACAACGATACCTACAAAATACAATTAAGCTTATAATAATTCAGGTTTTACATTTAAAATGAAAGTAAAAGAATATTTAAAATCAGCGCTTTTATAAATGCTCTAATAAAAACAACAATAAATATCACTTTTTTAAAGCGTGAAGGATGCTTTCAAAAATACAACTATTTTTAAATGAAACTTAACAATTTCACTTTAAAATATTTAAAAAGAAGCATGTAGGTGCTTCAAATACTTAGGGATAAATTTAGTTTAAATACCTGAAAAACATGTAACTAAAAAACTTTGTATTAAATAAAAATACACACCCAATAATTATGCCGTTCTTTCTAAATTTATGATTTGTTAAAAATTATTTATTATTCAAATTCTTTTTAATTAAACTTGAATTTTTGATGGTACACATCGTACACAAAATGTTTCACCAATTTAATTTTTATCAAATCGACAATTGTTTCGGTCTACGAGATCATTTTCAAGGGCTTACATATTATACTAACCAGTTGTAATAACTTAAACTCAAAAACCAGTAAAAGAAATGAAGGTGAGGTTCAGATATAACATTATTACTTTGGTAGTAATTATTAACTATACTTCGTTTACTTTCTCTAGAGAAGTGCCCCTTCCAATGTCTTGGAAGCGCACTGGCAAAATAGAAGGTAGGGATAAAGGAGCTCCTTATACTCTCAACTCTTGTTCATTAAACATATTTTCTCTTACAGTACCTCCCAAAAGTTTTGCTCCATCATAAATAGTAGTGCAAGTTGAAAACAAGCGTTAAACATCTAATGGGTCTTTAATATGTCTTGAAATATAAATTAACATCTCATTAATATTTTCAATAGTAATTGGTACCGATAATAGCACATTCGAGCAATGCAATTTTAGTCGATAAAATGGGCAGTACTGTACCATACCAGTTAAGAGTTTGGCGGAGAGTTGTCTCCTTTCTTTTCTGGTCTAGCGCCGTTCTTTTCTATTTTGCGCAGGTTATACTAAAGGTCACATCGCTGCGATGTGGCCCTCCCAATGTCTTGGATGCGCGCTGGCAAAATCGTAGGTAGGGAGAAAAAATCTCATTATACTCTCGACTCTTGTTCATTAAACATACTTTTTCATACAGTACCTGCCAAAAGTTTTGTTCAATTATGAATAGTTATCTCGTTAATATTTTCAATAGGTAGTAATTGGTACCAATAACAGCACATTTGAGCAATGCAATTGTAATGGATAAAATGGTCAATTTTTCCGTGTAGTACCGTACGGATTATACGTTCCTCATCGGCTAAGAGTTTGGCCGAGAATTGTCTTCTTTCTTGTCTGGCCTAGTGCTGTTCTCTTATACTTTGCGTCGGTCAAACTAAAGATCACATCACCAGAGAAACTATACGAAGTATGGAAAATACCGCAAATGGCGTGGTAAGCGCCATCTGTAGTACGATGCTACATTTGAGGATTACGTATGCTCCAACAACGTCATCCTCAAATGTAGCATCGTACTACAGATGGCGCTCACCACGCCATTTGTGGTATTTTCTAAAACGCGCTGTCAAGACAGTAGGTAAAGGGTCTGTGTTCTGTCGTAGCTGCCTGCGACCACTTCGAATTATTTTGTTTTAAAGGAAGTATACCAACAAGGTTTTTCTAGTCCATGGTTAGGTTACGGTAGGTTTATTTGATTTTTTGACTGTAACGGGAATAAATGTCGCATTCGCATATCGTTCTTTCTAAAGACTAATATAAAGTCAAAAATTATTTTGGATTTTGCTGTTCCGATGTTACGTATCTAATGGTCGCTATTATTTGTAAGGACCGACCTTTTTCTACAAAAAACGCATTAAATGTTATTATTACTAACCTGGGGCTACAGTATCGGATATGTAGACAAATGCAGAATCGCATGCTCCTTGAACGGATTCATCTATAACCAAGTTTGTAAGTAAGGAATTTGGTCTAAGAACTTCCCGCGGGAAAAGGATCCGCCTGATTAGAGCGTCAGTTTTTAAATCGAAAATTAAAATCTTTGGTGTACATGTTGGTCGGTAGTCTTCTAAAGATGTTAAAACCCCAGAATCCAATACCTTCAAAAAATAATTAATATTCTCTACAATTACCTACACGAATAAAATTATAAACAATTTTTGTGTAATTCACTAGCTAAAAGAAAATTGTAGTTGAAAAAGAATTTACTCATTAAGCAACCTTTAATTTTATTTGGTATACATTTTTTCATTTCTTAAGAAGTGAGTAAAACGACCAGGATTAGAAGAAGTCGCTGTTTTCCGGTATCTAATAGGAACTCAGATAAGGATGGAAGGAGCAGTAAAGGTATAAAACGAAGGATAGCGCAGGGTCGAGTCACCTTTAACAAAGACAAAAAGAAGAAAAGAAATGATTAGAAGCATAAGTGAACGATGAGGATAACAAGGAAAGGGCAGGTTAGAAATGAGGAAGTATTAGAAACTGTAGGATAACAAAGGGCGCTATGGAAGTCAATAAGAAATGGGCGAGATAGTTTTGAAGGATATCTTCTAAGGCCCGAAGGTCTAGTTAGAGATATATTACAAGCAGAAGCGGGAGTTAAAAGGACTAAATGCGAAAACTACCTCAGGATAAGAAAGAGTGGAGGTGCGTGTCGAACTGAAGACCCTATAATGATGATGATGACATAGAAACTGTACAATCTGAATTTTAAAATTAATCATTTTTTAAAACGTTTTCTTTTCTCATGGAATCTAGGTCAGCACTTAATTTTAAGACTCGATTTTTTGCATTGTAAATAATATAATTGCGGCAGAATCCTTTCGTATCCTGTAAAAACGAAAAAAACGATAGGAGACGAAAAATTAGAAGAGGTGACTGATTTTAGGTATCTAGAAAGTCAGATAAGCCAGGACGGAAGTAGTAGTAGGGATATAAAGAGCATAGCACAGGGTCGTGTCGCCTTTAATGAAAAGAAGTCACTTCTATGCTCGCGAAAGGTCAATTTAAAAAATCGAAAAAGGTTGTTAAAGGTGTATGTTTGGAGCGCGGCTTTCTACGGGTGCGAAACATGGACAGTGGGCGCGGCGGAAAAGAAAAGGTTAGAAGCGTTCAAAATGTGGTGTTACAGGCGAATGATGAGGATACCGTGGATAGAGAAGGTTAGAAATAAAGAAGTATTACAAAGAATAGGAGAATAGAAACCTATATGGAAGTTAATAAAAAGTAGGAAAGATAGGTTAGTAGGACACCTTCTCAGGCATGAAGGTCTAGTCAGAGACATATCAGAGGCAGAAACAAGAGTTAAGAGGTGTAGAGATAGACCTAGATTAGATTACTGTTAACAAATTGTTAGGGCTGTAGGTTGTTCTAGTTTTAGAGAAATGCGAAGATTAACTCAAGATAGAAGAGTGGAGGTGCGTGTCCACCCTTAGGACTGACGACCTTATGATGAATATGAAATAATATAACTGCTGGTTTCCTTTGGGGGAGGGAGGGTAGCTAAAATTCAATCTCGACTTACCTACTAATAAAAAATAATCGTTGTACCTATTGTGCATACGGGTTGCAGTCATTGAGCAGAAACAAAACAAAATAATTTAAAAGAAAAAGCACTGTCTATTGTTACAAAATATAATTAAATAAACTTTAGCAATTGTTAAAGAACTTATTCAAGTTAACTAATTTGTCTTCTCCCTTATCCTGTAGATATTTTCGGATTACCATTGATTGAAAAATAAGGAGGTTAACTAGTTTTTTAACTGCGTTAAGTTTTAAATTTCTATGCTCATTAATCTCTTAGAGGAACGTCTGAGACAAACGAAGAACGAAACACGTAAGACGTGAGTGACCTTACGAGAATTTTGTTTTTTATCTTTCTTTGGAAATGCAGAGCCGTTATAGACTTCATATGAAGTAGAAATCAATCGAAATTTCTGGCCAAATATTTAATTTTGTTAATTTTTTTATTTTTAATTTTCGTTGGTGGCTTACCCATAGTCTGTTGCACGAATCCTTTCGTATCCTGTAAATTGAAACAATTTGCGAACAGTCTGTATTATTTCCTTCCAAACCAGCTAAGTGCCAGTTCCATGACGGGTATGCTTCCAATGGAGGACTAGAGCCCGGTGGTGTATTTCTTGGTATAAATGCTAAAGAAGCTGGAACACCAGCAAAAACTCTTGGCATTGCCAGAAATATCCTGTCGTCAGTTATTTCTACTCCTGTGAAAAACGTTCGCTCCGGTCTAAAATGTGATAAAAATAAATTTTGTTTTGAGCTCAGTTATAACTGAAAGCACCCCAACTGGGCATAGAAGACCTAATAAGTTCATACGTTCATACTAAATAAAACAAAACACGAACACAAAAAAATTGTTCTCTTTTATTTATTTTTTAAATGATTCTCTGAAAAAGTGTTCATAGAATTACGGAATATGTGACAGTGGAGAAAACTCATGCAGGGTTTAAATTCGTAACCGAATGCTTAATTTGGAGTATAAATAGGTATAACTCATATTTTCGAAACGTTATGGTAGAGTAACAGGTATTTTCTACAACACATTAATATTGGAGCTTTAAAGAAATGCCTTCTGCAAATCCCAATTCATCATACCAACTTCCTGAACTGATTTAAAGGCAAACTATCAAAGGCATAATGTGAAGGTCATCTTGTACAAAGATCATCGACGACCAAATAAAACTAATTTTAAACTAAACTTACCAGCATTTTTTCTTTTGGATAAAAGGTACCCTATGTCCTTCTCTGTACCCCTGACAATGTGTCTACAAAATTTCATGATGATCAATTAAATAAAACTATTTTTTTTTATCTGTCGGGAACAATACCTTTTCTGTATAAAAAGCACTCTATGTGCATTTCTGTGTCCCTAACAATATCTACAAAATTTGTGTAGTTAAGGCATCATATCGACCACATAAAACTAATTTTTTTCTATCCCTCGGGAACAATATTTTTTTCAGGATAAAAGGTACCTTATGTCTTTCTCTGTAACCCTGTCAAAACTCGCATTCGCATTTATAATATTATCTAGGATTATCAAGCTAAATCTGTTTCGAACTAGATCATAAAAACTACCTAGAGCTACGGGTGGCTCGCGAATTGAATATTCTAGTCCATTGTCCATGAACTGGCCCACTGCAAATATTACCACAACATAATGTAAAATTTAAAACTGTAAGCCTTACATATGTTAGAATTTTGCAAGGAATTTACCAATATAGCATATTTATTGTATTTTATGCTCAGTTCAGAATCATTCTTTAAAACTATTGCTCATCAAGATTTTCGATCCATAAAATAAGTCCAAAATCGCCAATTTAAACGAATTTAGGCAAGTATACATTGTATATTTTACTGTTACACATACTGCACATTATAATCTCGAAAGCTAGGTACATATTAACAGAGTGACAGGATTCTGTTTTTGTGTGGTTTTATTGTATAACTGCCAATTACGCTGACGTCATTTTAAAAAAAAAGCCTAGGTACTTAAGCAATTACGAATATAAAGTAATTCTGAAAAGAAAAGTAAACCGCTAATTTACACAACGACAGAAAAACGTAAATGATTTATTAACCATTTATTTAAAAAAATTATTAATATGGAAATAGTAATTGTTAATTGCATATAGATGTGCCTCATAATAATAGTTCCTCTATGTATATACGCAGGGTGTTTATGAAATAAAGCTTACAGGAAGTCATAGGACACTATAAAACAAGAAAATTAAGTAAATGTTTGCTGGTCCATTTTCGATTAAAAATTACTTCAAAATAAGGGAAATGCGACAAAGCAACGCTGTATTCAATCAGCTGCTAATTAGCAGCATCGGAGTTGTATTTCTTTCATTATTTAGGAGATTAGATCAAATGTGATTGATGATGTTTATGTTACAATCACCCTAGAATAGTTCCTTATTCTTTTGACGTTGTAGGTTTGTATGTATGTAGTCAGTCGATGTCATTGGCAATAGGTCAGAGTGTCAGTGCAAAATATAGGGTTGTTCGGAAAGTCATTTCGTTTTTTCCCGACAGAGGATTTAATTGTATTCTTTTGCACCCAACTTCACGTTTAAGTCGTATAATTTTTATATGCTTTGAGAACTCATATAGCAAGACTTGTGTGTGAAAAATTCCAATTAATTCTACGCAGTAGTTTTTGGTTGGTGCCCTTTTAAATATGGAGAGCGATAAGCAGCATTTTCGACATATCTTACTGTTTTACTACAGAAAGGGTAAAAATGCTGTTCAAGCCAGAAAGAAATTGACTGATGTGTATGGAGAAGGTGTGTTGACAGTACGCCACTGCCAGAACTGGTTCGCTAAATTTCGATCCGGCAATTTTGATGTCGAAGATGCACCACGTTCGGGAAGGCCGGTTGAAGCTGATAAAGAAGCGATAAAGGCATTAGTTTATGTGAACCGGCGAATAACAACACGTGAGATTGGATTGAGGTTAACTTTATCAAATTCAACAGTTTATGATCACTTGAAATGCCTGGGATTGTCCTCGAAGCTCGATGTATGGGTTCCCCATGTTCTCACAGAGAGAAATCTGTGTTGCCGCATTGACGTCTGCGATTCGTTTCTCAAACGTCACAAAAGTGATCCTTTTTTGAAGCGCATCATCACTGGGGACGAAAAATGGGTTGTATACAACAACGTCAAACGCAAGAGGTCATGGAGCAAAAAAGATGAACCGGCTCAAACCATTTCCAAAGCCGATATTCACCAAAAAAAGGTGATGCTGTCTGTTTGGTGGGATTTTAAAGGAATCGTTTTTTTTGAGCTTTTACCGGATAACACAACGATTAATTCGGAAGTCTACTGTCATCAGCTGGACAAACTGAATGATGCACTTCAACAGAAAAGGTCAGAACTAATCAACAGGAAAGGTGTAGTGTTTCACCAAGACAACGCGAGACCTCACACAAGTTTGGTCACTCGCCAAAAGCTTTTACAGCTTGAATGGGATACAATGCTACACCCACCATATTCTCCAGACCTGGCACCATCGGATTATTATTTGTTCCGGTCACTCCAAAATTTTTTAGACGGTAAAACCTTCACCTCAAATGAGGAGGTCAAAAACCTCCTCGATCAGTTTTTTGCCAGAAAAGACCAAAAATTTTATGAGCGTGGAATTATGCTACTACCAGAAAGATGGCAAAAGGTGTTGGACCAGAACGGTCAATATATAATTTAATAAAGTATTTGTTTATTATACGAAAACTGTCTTTCATTTCCACAAAAAAAAACGAAATGACTTTCCGAACAACCCTATAGTATTATTGCATTGATCACTGCGTGAGTTTCTAGACTATGGCAGTTTCCTAGACACTGAATTAGACGTACGAGTCATCCACCTTGGCCGACGCGTAGCCCGGATCTAAATCCATTTGACTTCTTTGATTGTGGTTGTATAAAACAGCGCGTACACCAAATGTAAGAGCAGAACATTAATACAAATAAAATGCGCAAAACACCGGACATTTTTGCACGACTCAGAAATATTTTTGGGAGACATCCACAAGTCTGTATTTTATCACCGAGTTCGAATTTCAACAATCTTTATAGCGTACGTCCGTGTTCATGCATGTAGGTGTTTAATGGTGTTGTAATTAATAGGAGGGTAGGGCTATTGGCGAGCCAAACAGTCTTTAATTTTTGCCTATTTCAAAGAATGGATCAAAGAATCCGTATCAAATTTTGTGTGAAAAACAAAATTAAGTATGCGGACGCATTCCGAATGTTGACAGTGGCATATGGTGAAGCTACCTTGGACCGAACCAACGTTTATCGGTGGTACAAAATGTTCTCAGAGGGTCGAAAAAATGTAAACGACGAAGAGCGTGCCGGGCGCCCAAGCACGTCAACAACTGATAAAAACATTGATGAAGTGAAAAAAATAGTATTGGCCAATCGTCGAATCACCGTTAAAGAATTTGCTGAGGGCCTAAATATATCGATTGATTCCTGCCATTCGATTTTACCAATGATTTGGGTATGGGACGGATAGCCGCGAAATTCGTACCAAAATTGCTCAATTTCGACCAAAAGCAGCATCGCATTAACATCGCTAAGGAGCTGTTGGACTCTGTTCACGATAAGCTAAATTTGCTCCAGAGGGTCACTAATGACGAATCATGGGTTTTTGATTATAAAGTGGAAACCATAGCTTAATCATCCCAATCGAAGCTGCCGCACGAGCCAAGACCGAAAAAAGCGAGTCAAATTAGGTCGAATGTGAAGGTTTCGCTTACAGTTTTCTTCGGTTGCAGGGGCGTGGTGCATCATGAGTTCTTGCCACATGGTAGAACGGTCAATAAACAATATTATCTGCAACTTATGCGCAATTCGCAAAAATTAACTTTTGCACCATGAGCACGCCTATGCTCAAATATCTGGTCCCCTGTGACCTTTTCTTGTTCCCGAAACTAAAGAGGCCTATGAAAGTACGACGCTACGCTACGATTGATGAGATAATGACGGCATCGAAGGAGGAGCTGAACAAGATCACAAAAAATTATTTTTTGAAATGCTTCGAGGATTGGAAAAAACGTTGGCACAAGTTTATAATATCGGGTGGGGATTAATTTGAAGGCGACAAGTAACCACTGGTAATAATATAATACTTAATATAAACAATGTACAAATTATGATCAAGTGGTTAGAATTAAAAACGAAGTCAATACATACTTAAATTTTGCTTGGAATCCTGAACCATAAGGAAAATTGAAATCCAAGAGGCTCCATTGATTTAGAAGTTCTATTTCATTTCCAAATGCAGACGCAGTGAAGAAAAAGAGCATAAATATCCAGGAAATCATTTCTGTAAAAAATAAAATGTGTTGTTTAAGTTAAGAAGTAATAAAAAATTCTTATAAAAGGTGTTACACAANATTGTATTAAAATTTTAATTAATTTATTTTACAGACTCGATTAAACTCTAAAAGTTAATTGTTTTATAAAAGTAGAAGCTCCTTTTTATTTAAACACCCAATAATATTCAATTTATCGGCACTATATCTCCATCTACCGGTTATTTACTGCAGTAAATGAGAGTCAATTTCGCATTTGTTTGATTTTTTCACGTATTTTGGACTAGGTACGAATAAGTTACTTTTTTTACGTATTGCTTTGAAGAAATTTTCTAGAGCAAAAATTCTAAGGCTTTCAACCCTTTAAAGGAATTTGAAGAATTTTCTCTATAAAATAATAATTCAGGGTTTGACTTGATTTTTAAGCTACTTACGGGCCGGGCTATTAAAAAAACAATAACACAACAGTCATTGTTGAACACTGGATTAGTTTAGATAACATAAAAATTTCTCATTTGACCCCAAATAGTTGAGAACTATTATTTTTATCTTCAATAGCGAAATTATTCTTCGGTAATTATTCAGAATTGGGGCTCCAGACCAAAATCGCTCCAAAAATTTTTTCATCGGTTTCCGGTTATTCTACATAATAGAATTAGATATTAGAAGGTGAGGGAGACAGTTTTTTATGACTTCATAAATAAAAAGAAATATTTTTTTTGAATGATAATTTTTCAAAATTTAAATCACAGTTCTAGACTGTAGGTAAGGAAACAGATGGCTAAAGAGTTCAGGGGCGGAAGAAGGGTGGTGTTAAAAGTTATACAAAAAGTTATTTATCTTTATCTCACAACTGTGACTGCATAAAGTTCTTTTATTAATATTAAAAGAAGAAATAGCTATACATACACCATATACCCTATGATGTATGCTATAATAGAAAAAAAGTATCTCCCCCGCCTCAAATATAATCATTGAACTCTTAGAAATGACCAGAAATCGATGAAAAAGGTTTTGGAGCGATTTTGCTCAGTAGCCTCAATTCTAGGAATTGTATCAAATTCCGATATTGGCACTAATACTTTCTGTGATTAAAATACTCCAATATATCAGCCCAAGGGCAGGAGCGTTAAATAAACTCCAATCTGTCATAAATTTATCTAACAAAACAATGATGCCATCAATGCAGGTAATTATCCAAAATTTTGAAAAATTGTTATTCAAAAAATTATTTTTATATTTACGAAGTCATAAAAACTGTCTCCCCCACCTTCTAATATCTAATTCTATTATGTAGAATGACCGGAAATCGATGATAAAAGCTTTGGAGCGATTTTGGTCTGGAGCCCCAATTCTGGACAATTACCCGTTGTTCTAAATAATAGCGTAACTACTGAAAAAGTAATGATCTTAAATGAATGTAAAATTTAGCTCAAAGTGGTTTCAATACATTTTATTCAACATGTTTCAGATTAAGTGCGACATGCAATCAATTAAGTCAAGTATTGGCAACGATCGATAGCTAAGATAGTCGATCTTTGATTAGTTCTCTCAAGACAATTCAAGTAATTTGTAGAAACATCAACCTACTTAACTTGATGACTCTATGAATTAATACAACCTTTAATAACAGAAGTTATTGCCTGTTTATGCGTCCTTCATAAGCGTCTCATTCTTTTTTTTTTATATTAATCGTTTTGTTAATGTTATTACCTACTTCTCTTGGTTACTTCACAAGCTAAAATATATTCTGTAAGTAAGGAAAAGCCTATTGACCAAGGTCGTCTCAGGTAATCGTTTCACAATATACATACATTACACTTGCTACCTACTAAATAACAATACAATTTACAGACATGTTATGAGAAAAGTATTGGCTAATATAATACGTATGTATATTAGACACCAACATAGGAAATTAGGTATTATTCTAATTGTACCGAATGAACTTGTTTTTGAAGTGAAACTTGAAACTTCTTTACACACGGTAGGGTAAGTTCGTTTCATGCGAATTGGTATGTAACGAAATCATGCAACCCATTTCCCCCGTTGTCTGTCCCTAGGTATGCTTAGATCTTTAAAACTACGCAACGGATTTTAATGCGTTTTTCTTTAATAGATACAGTAATTCAAGAGGAAGGTTTATATGTATAATACATGCATAATATAGTAGAGAAGCACTGATAATTTTAGAGGTTTGTAATGTGATGTCGTAAATAAACACATTTTATAATATACTACAGTATTATACACCTTAAAAAGGTCTACAAAAAAGTCCGGGATGGAATATGTCTATCTCTTAAGGATAATCCACAATAACCATCTTTTATCTTTTACTTCTGACGAGAAATAATGGCTTATTTACGAAGCGATTTTAAACAATACAGCATTAATCCTTATCCAATTAAGTACTTTTAAATACATTGCGCATTTAATATAGATCAATATGGCCGTTTACAACATGTAATTTAAATGAATATTTTTCAAAATATTATTAAAATGCAGGGACATAGCGGTTGCGGCGGTACCGGCCGGTTTGTATTGTCTAATGACAAAAAAGCTGCGATTGTTGTACTTATATAAAGACATTCTACAGCATTGCACCCGTGCGAAGCATAGTGTACAAATAATACCATTAAACCAATTCCTTAACCTCTATTCCGGTATATTTGTGTGTTTGAAGAAGTTTCACTTCAGTAGCGTGTTGTATAATTACACGTTGTATTTGTTTTTTCTACATAGAATAACAGAAGAATTTCGAATTAATTTGTGCTGATTAGGAATAAGTCAACTCACGATACACATTCGTAAGAACTAATCATAGCTAGTGCAGAATTTTGTACTTATTAGTCAATCCTCTTAACTATCCGAGCTCTGTAAACTAAGGAGCCCGTACCGAGCAGTCACCATATGCAAAACACCGGAAAGTCTACAAAAATAAATAATCAATATATGAGAAAACGAGAAGAAATGCTAATACCCACATAAACTCTGATGGACAGCATAATACAGTAATGTAAAGCAAATGAATCAACATTAAAACTTCAAGAGGGCAAACAACTTCTAAGACTGCTTTACGTAAAAGAAAAATCATGCAAGATTGGAAGAAGATTGGCCAACTAGTATGGAATAAAAACAACCTTCTAATCGTCCAACACTCTTCGTGTCCATCTCCTGCAAATGAAGCCTCCAACACAAAAAGAAACGAACAACCGTATTTAAAAGATTCCACATGAATCCGGTCAGTTCTACATTGGGGAAACGAAGAGACCTTTAGAAAATCGGATAAAGGAACATTGATTACATACCAAGAAGGGTGAAACTGCACTATTCGCCATAGCAGAACATGCCTAGACGAATAATCATAAAATTATTTTAGAAGGGGCAGAGATTCTCCACAAGGACGCACTGGTTCCGGAGTAAGTTTAATGACGCAGCATACATCCAGCAGCAATCAAACTTTAGCCATCAAAGTAGGAAAGTCACTAAATACATATATTGAAACCGGTGCCGTAATCTCGAAACTGCAACTCAACCAACCGGAGCAGAGCGTCACACCTAGACGATCATTTAATCATGTCTCTGTATATAAACTCTGTGGCTTTAAATTTACAATAATTATTAGTTACCTGATGATGATTAAAGATACAACATGGTCGAAACGTTGTAATGCAATCATACAGACATTAAAAGCAAGATATAATCTTTTCCTTATTTGCTTTTTAAATGCAGAAAGTAACTTTTAAGACCGGCTGGCCATGAGTATAAATCAGGGTTTCTTAACCTACATTCCATTAACCCCCTGACGGGTCTCTGTCATGGATGCTAGGAGTCGATGACTGCCTTGCCTAATATCACTGAATAAGACAATTATTAATGCAATAATTTGTAAAACTGGACGCGGTCAAAAACAACATCTCAATCAATTCCTTAATTTGGCATATGTATCCAACTTAAGTTCAAAATGAACGTATATACCACCCTGGACGAGACAGAAACAAGACAACTTCTGTGGTACGGACTTGTAGTTAAAATGGAAGAAAATACTTAGATGGCCAAAAAAGCTATGAGCAAATAGAAAAAGAAATGAAGACCAGCATTAAGATGGATAAAAGAAACAATAGGAACGATGGGGGTAGAGCTATAGAATATTTAAATAACACAAACGTTAACGCCAAAACACGACACTATAAATATCCGAAGTACTTTTCGGTAACAAGATTACCTTCTTCAGCTACTGAAGAGAACTCTTCTACTACAATTAAGAACATTTAATAAACTTACAAGAAGTACATGTAACATAATGTCTGTCTATTTTTATTAACACAGTGCAAAAGTATTGCTATTAACTATTAAATGTATTGTAAACTGATGCCGCCAAATCTTCTTCTTCCTAGGCTTCCGCTTTGTGAGAATTGTATTGTTGCTGATAGATTAGATTCATCAGATTGCATTTTGGAGATAAATTCTTTACACAAATCCATTATCAAAAATTTAAATGCAGATGTACAAATGCCAAATCCAAACTTCATATATTATTGATTTATTGATAATTCGTTCACGTTCCACTTTATACTCATTGGTCACAATATCTACATTTTAAATTTTCTTTAAAGTGGAAAGCTATTTTCTTAGTCATTTTGTGATTCAAATGGAACGAAAGTTTGAAATCTTTTTTAATGTTTACTCATTTCTTTTAAATGCTATTTTATTGTTTCTATTGGACTAGATACCAAAATTGGTTTGATACAATTAATAAGCATTGAGTTAAATAAACATGGGATATTTTGGTTTACTTTAAAGTACATTTATTTCATTTCATTTAGTGTAGTAATTCCTTTTTCTTTATTGGTGTCCGCTGCAATTTCTACCTAGCATCTCTTTTCTATGTTGGCAATATTACCTAAAAGTTGGGGTTCTATTAACAACTCCTCTAGTCTAGTTAGTTGTTCAAAGAGGAAAGTAAATAGAACAGTTCTATTGCGGACTATGTCAATTTTTTAAACGTCCTAACTAAACTCCTATACAGATCAAAATGGTTAAAGAAGAGATACAAAAGGTACCCCGTGTGTAATTATTTGTGACATTTAAATGTACCTTCTAAAACTCCTTTTCGTTGGATCCATTTTTCTTTCATTCCCAAAAGGTCCGCAACATTGACGCCACCCACAGCGTTTTGTTTATTAAAATTTTGCTATTGTTCACGAACATGATGGAGATAAGGTAAACAATAGCGAGGCAATACAGAGTAGGCGACGTAATCGTCTATAATCGATGCAAATTAGGCGGTAAACTCTGTCTTATGCTTCGCTTTCAATCGCGATAATGTATAGAGATCGTATGGTTAACATTTAATCCAGCGAAATATTATTTAACGGAATGTTTTTGCGTTTAGCTCACTTACTCAATGAAAGTAAGAGCAAGGTCGACATCACGCAAGAGCAATAACTCAAAACGCACATGCCTGATCTATCTGCGAGTTCTGCAAGGAACTCAATAACAATAATAGTGTTGTGCATGCTATGCTTTGTCTGTAATTAAAGATACGGGTTGGTCAGGCAGCTCAAAATAGAGTATGTGTGGATTTATTTACTAATATTTTTCTTTATTCATAATACAAGGCTTTGTTCGCAGATTAATGAAAGAAAAATTTTCAGAAATTTTGAAGTAAACACTTAGAGATGCGCCGGATAGTGGTTTTGCGAAAATGCCAGACCAAGACTGTCTTTATACTAGTAAGACCAAAACAAAGACCGAACGAACAAGACCAAGACCAAGACTAAACTAACAATGAAGCTACCGTGGAAAGAGTAGGTTAGAAATGAAAAGATATCAGAAAGAATTGGAGAACAAAGGACTTAATAAGAAATAGGCGGGATAGGTTGCTACGACGCCTTCTCAAGCATGAAAGGGTAGTTAGAGACATATTAGCAGCAATACCAGGAGTTAAGGGGAGCAGAGATAGACCTAGATTAGATTACTGTTGTTTGCAAATAGTTAACGATGTGGAATGTTCTAGTTTTAGAGAAATGTGAAAATTAGCTCAGGATAGGGAAGAGTGGAAGTGCGTGTCCAACCAGTCTCAGGACCAACGACCTTATGATGATGATAATGATGCAAAGAATAAAATTAAACAAAATATAAATATATAAGTAGAGAAACCTCTCACAGGTGTTAAAAGCATTTTTAGTGAATTTTAGGAGAACTAATGTAATTCACAATTTTGGAAATTATTTTTATGAGGAATAATATTAATATTGATTATATGTTGTAATAATATTATTTAAATTTGATGATGAATAGCTTTTGGGCTTTTCTGCCGTGGCCGAATTCCGAAGCAGCTGTTCATACATCGTGAAGCACTAAAGATGCCATCTATTAAACATAGCGAAACGTCTGTAATCAGAATTCGACCACGGCGGAAAAGCCCAGAAGCTCTTCATCAGCAAGTAGACAACGACCGTGAAAGCCTACGAACTATACATTTATTATTATTATTATTATTATTAGACAATAATTTTTTTTATTTTTATTACAGGTTAGCTATCCCGTCAAGTTAAAAGTCAGGTAAGTTCATTCTAAGTTTGCAATAATTCATAATGATTACCTTCGTTCCACAAGATTATCTTGTTCATCCATCAATACAGAGAAAACTATATTTTCCAAAAAACAAACACAATAGAAAAATACTTTCTATCTGCTTACAGTGTACAAATAATATTAAAAAGATAAATTTAAAATTTTTTTTAGCGAAAATAATCAAACCATCCAATCATATTCTGAAATTTAAACCTGAACTTATTTAAACTAAAACTTTCGTTTTTTAGAATTGTTTTAAATAGATCATCCCAACACCCCTCCCATCTATTATTTCTCTAATTCATCTACATTTTTACTTTCATTGCACCCTCCTTTTTACATATCATACAGAACCTTTCTTCCTCCTTCATCCAAAACTTACATCTTCTGCTTCCATCAAATGACCTTTACCTATTCACTCCACGTATCCTGATTTTTTATTTTCCCCAAATCATCCGCTCGCACCATCTTATTACACCTTTTCCCCACTGTTCAATATTGGCGATATCCCGCTGGTTATTAATTTGGTGAGACACTTCGATATTAAAATAACAACATACTTTTTTCTAAAATTATGTTTACACTTTGTACAACTACTTAAAACTGAAATTTTCTATCTTAAAAGGTGGAATCGGTGTTCTGTATTGTATAATTATATTTACAAAATTTATAAGCTGCTATAAGTGATGAGCGTTTTGATACCTGAAAGTAGAATTGAATAATCAATCTTTCAGGTAGGTGTCTGAAACCTCCGTCAATGTAACAACAGAAATAAAACTAAATAAACAATAAATGGAATAGTGTTTGAATGACGTAACACCCACCATTCGTCTATTTGTTCCTGATTCAATTTAAATACCCTCAGTAAATCAAAACGATTAATCGAAAATTTCAATGAATTTTCCACGTTGTACCTATTTCAATTTAGGTATCTAGGAAGTCAGATAAGTCAGGACGGAAGGAGTAGTAGGGATAGAAAGCAGAGGATAGCGCAGGGTCGAGTCGCATTCAATAAAAAGAAGTTACTTCTATGATTGCGAACGGTTAATTTAGAAATTCGAAAAAGGTTGTTAAAGGTGTATGTTTGGAGCACCGCGTTGTATGGGTGCGAAACATGGATAGTGGGCGCGGCGGAAAAGAAAAGGTTAGAAGCATTCAAAGTGTGGTGTTACAGGCGAATGATGAGGAGCCGTGGATAGAGAAGGTGATAAGGAAGTATCAGAAGGAATAGGAGAACAGAGGACTCTATGGAAGTCAATGAGAAATAGGCGAGATAGGTTAGTAGGACACCTTCTCAGGCATGAAGGTCTAGTCAGAGAGATATTAAAGGCAGAAACGGAAGTTAGGAGGGGTAGAGGTAGACCTAGATTAGATTACTGTTCGCAAATAGTTAAGGATATGGGTTGTTCTAGTTTTAGGGAAATGAGAAGATTGGCTCAGGATAAGAAATAGTGGTGGTGCGTGTCCAACCAGTCTTAGGACTGACGACCTTATGATGACCTATTTTAACACAAATTTCACTTTCTTTTAATTTATAAATCGAAACTTTTTATGTGAGTTACATATCACTATGTATTTTGTTTCAACGCCACAAATAAAGCAACAAAATTTCAAGTTCGAGTTGTTAATTAATTTGATAAGCTTGTCCAACTGTTTTATAGACAAATTAATCTCACATAACAACCTAGTTACACTCTTAACTGATCGTTACTATCTCTTTATGTTTACGTGTTGGGCGTGTGCCTTAATAATACGGTTAGGGCATGAAACGGAATTCTATTGCTAAATACATACGTATCGTATCGAACAGACTACCGGCGACGATGTCGACACAATTTCCTCCACCAAATTTATTACCACAACTTCTGAGACAAATGACAACTTTTTATTTTAACTGCGACAGTAAGAAAAAATAAAAACTATTAAGAAACGGTTTTAAATACCTTTTTGTTGTATTTGTACCATATACCTTGGTAATTTTTTACCTAATTAAGTAAACTGTGACTACTGCTACATTTACTTTGATATTGTTTACTTCCTTTACTGCACAAGTATGTTTATACATATGTGCTTATGTGATTATGTTCGTGCACATGTGCAAAGAATGTTAATGCAAGGTATCATGAGGTGTCTCACGTTAGTAGGCGAGGCCTATTAAAAATTCCTTCGCAAAAAGTTCCAGATAAAAAGGACCTTCGAACAATCACCTGTACATGCCAAATTAAGGATAAAAGTCGGCAAATTTAGTTCTTGGATTTGTGCACTCTCTAATGTGACTTTAATGAGTGACAGAATCTAATACAGGGCGGCCGAAATAAGTACGTAATAACATTTTCGAATTAGGTGCGGAATTACCATCAGGAACAAAAAATTATCTAAAAATTGTTTTTTTTTGTTTAACTTTAGATTTAGAGGAATATTAGAAAATAAAGAATTTTTGAAAAAAATTATTGTGATTGTGGTTGTTTAGGTGTCTCCACATCGTGTCACCGATCACTCATTGACAAAAATCTAAAAATTCATATTACTTGAGTATATGAGCTTGTAAACGAAGTTGTCATTAGCAATTATTGCTTTATTGTAAGTTATTAAAAAATCTAGGGGTTGCAAAAGAATTTTTCACACATCAGTTCAAATGGCTATAACTACGGCCCTGATGGGTAAGGAGGATGTAGTTTGATCTTATTGATTTCTAAATTGAAAGCTAAGTTTCATATAGCAGAAGTTCAGTATATTATTGAAAAGAAAATCAACATTTGGAAACTGCAAAAATAACGCTATTTTCAATTGATAGATAAAGGTAACAGCGTACAGATGCAAATACTAATAAACGTTGAAAGTAGAGATATTAAAACATGTCTAATGTAAAGAAGAGCACAAAGGAAATCAAAGTTAGATGCTGAACATTCAAGAAATAGAAATATGTATAATTGTACTTGGGAAATAAAATGATAGTAAGGCTGCCTTTTTTTTTATTATGTAAAGAAATGTTAATTTGTCCAATATTGACAATTGACTTGTTTGTACATATACAGCTGAACTATAGGGTTGTTCGGAAGGTCATTTGGTTTTTTCCCGACAGAGGATTTAATTGTATTCTTTTGCACCCAACTTTACATTTAAGCCGTATAATTCCAATTAATTCTACGCAGTAGTTTTTGGTTGGTGCCCTTTTAAATATGGAGAGCGATAAGCAGCATTTTCGACATATCTTACTGTTTTACTACAGAAAGGGTAAAAATGCTGTTCAAGCCAGAAAGAAATTAACTGATGTGTATGGAGAAGGTGTGTTGACAGTACGCTAGTGCCAGAACTGGTTCGCTAAATTTCGATCCGGCAATTTTGATGTCGAAGATGCACCACGTTCGGGAAGGCCGGTTGAAGCTGATAAAGACGCGATAAAGGCATTAGTTGATGTGAACCGGCGAATAACAACAAGTGAGATCGGAGTGAGGTTAAATTTATCAAATTCAACAGTTTATGACCACTTGAAAGGCCTGGGATTATCCTCGAAGCTCGATGTATGGGCTCCCCATGTTCTCACAGAGAGAAAAAAGGTGATGCTGTCTGTTT